TTCCGAGTAAGAACTGCTTTTCGCAAGATAATTAACGATGGAATATGAATTAGTAATATAGCTAAACGCCATTTTTGACGTACTTTCGCTGATGATTTGTTTTGTTTCGTATGTTGATGAACTAGAAGAATACTTGAAAAAGCCAACATAATTGGATTTCGATGAATTGCTTCCATTTGTATGAAATCTAAATAGGCACAAAAGCCTGCATCACGATATTCCAGTTGTCGACCCAATGGTGAATAATCAAGACGTGCCATATAAATGATTGTTATTATACAACTATTCAGAATACGTGTAAAGGATGCAGCTAAGTCAAGAAAAACATCGAGAAAAAAATCAAAATATAGTAAAATCATCGATACACGATGATTATTAATGGCAAGAATTTGATTTCGTTTTTGTAAGAAAATATATTTGGCAACAAATAGAGTGATATAAACTTTAAACATACTCAAAAGCAATACGGGAATAAAAACAGTGAGTATTTGTTCAAATAATTTTCCATCATTTTCTAATAATTTACCAATAATATAATAAATCGAAAATGTTAGTAAGAAACATAGAATATAACCCCAAGCAGCATAACCAATAAAAAAGCCAGCAAAATGAAGATTTCCTGTTGCATATAAAAGATTCTTTAAATTATCTTTTTTTGGTATTTCACTATGATCACCACGAAATATTTGTAATAAATGACGTCGAATACTCGTTAATAAGACAAGTACTTGAATGATAGTAATGACAAGTGCTGTAGAAACAGCGATAAAAAATGGAACTTTTACCGCTGATAGAGGAGAAGAAGAGAATGTTTGATTTTGTGACATATTGCCTTAATTATTGACTGCGTTTGCATTTTTTGAACCACTCAAATTTTCAATCATGATTTGCCATTTTGGTAGAATGGGTAATTCTCGAATAATAAGTTTAATAGTCAAAACAAATAATATGAGAAAAAGTACTGCATAAATACAAAGAATACGTGATGAAAAACGAAAATCATCCCGCCATTCATAGATAAATTTTGGTAACAAACGAGCTACAAAAGTTCGACTAGATGGACATCTATTGGATGAATGGAATATATTTCTTACATAGAGTGTTTCAACAGAATATGGTTCAACAGAAACTTTATGTTTCTATTCAATAAGAAATCAATTGATAACTTCTACTTTGTTTTTCAGTGGGCTTCTGAAACTATTTACATAGAGCAATTAATAGATAATGAACAGGCATGTGTATTCGATGTTAAATGATCATTTATTTATACGGATGAATAGAAGCATTCGATGAATATGAATCTTTCTATATAGAAATGAATCTTTCGGAACATTGTCTCGACTTGTAAAAAGTTATAAAAAATGAAAATCGTATTTCTCATTTAGACTAAATGAAGAACTAGGGCGTCAGTGAACAGATACATATAGAAAAAAATCATGGGAATCACGTAGAACGTTTTTCTTAGCTATTAAAAAGAGAATATTTTGTTCAATTATCGGAATGTAGCAGTAGGTTGAGAGAAAAATGATGAATTCACAAAGAAAGAAGGTTATTGATAGTTCTCGCAATGTTAACATAATGAGGACACAATACTAATGACCATAATTAAATTATATATTGTTGATACTATGGTGAACGTGAAACAAGTTTTCGAGAAAGATTATTTGTTCATATCTTTTTAGGGAGTTGTTTCTTGTATCCAAACTGAACGAAGGGTTTATTTTCATAAAGTATATCTTCGTTTCAGCGAACATATAAAGTATCGATAAGAAAAGACTGAATACCAATTGCATGTAATGTTACAGAGAATTACATTTATTAAAATGTGGAAGTGTGTTCAAAGACATTTAATCTTGTTTGATAAGAGTGTGAAAAATGATCTCTTCTCGACTTTGAAAGAGCAAGATGTTTCTTTCTGTATGGTAAGATATACCAGTTCTTATTATTGTCGATTTTAATATTAACCAGGTCTAGGTCGTTTGTTGCTCAAGAGCAACATGAAGTAGCAATGACTGAAAAGTTCTTTCAATGAATTTCGTTTTAGAATTTTCATATAAGTTGCTCTGTTGCAGTTTACGATGATTGAGTGGAAATAATTTTGATTGTCAAATTAGATAGTATTCTTCGAAATAACGTTATCAATATCTGTCGATAATTCAATATCAGAAATATATTCAAACGAGTGGCTGATAATCGTGAAATAGACTTTCTATTAGTATTTAAGGGTCGTTCTTGGAGGATTTGTATTATTGTGTTAAATATAGTTGCGATAGACAAATTCACCTTTTACAGCTTGGTTTCGTGAGTGATTCGCTCTGTTGTAACAAGAAAATCATATCTGAATATTATAACTAGCTGTTTCATCCAATTTTATTGTTTTATATTTAAAAAAATACGCGAAAAAGAACATGTATAGATAAGCATATTTATTGTGCATGCCAACTTCTGCAACGAGTCACATATTTCAAATGAACAATGAATTAAGAACCAAGTTACTTGCGTCTGTGAAAAAGTGAAATTCACTTTTCTGAGCAGAAGTAAATGACTTGGCTCCTCATTCATTGCTGATCCGGAATATGTGACTCGTTTCACATGGTAGAACTGACCAAGAATATGCTTATCTACACGTGTGCTTATGTATTGTTCAGAGGCGGCGGAGCGATTCCTATCTAGGGGAGGCTCAACATTTCTCAGGAATGATAGGAAGGTGATGTTCGGGGAGGGATATTTTCTAGCTTTTCCACTTTAACTTTTATCAAGGGATATCGGATGTCTCAATGTGTTTTTGAACAGCATCTATTT